GCGGCTCAGCTGTTTCGCGCCGAGCGACGCTCAGCTCCCTCGGCCAGGCTGCTCAGCTGTTGGGAGGGCCCGGGGGCTACGCGCAACCCGGTGAGATCCCCCGCGCCAAACAGCTGCTCGGCGGGCCGGAAGAAAGGGCGAGCGATCCGGCCCGTTCCGAGCCTCCCCAGCTAGCCCCACTCACGAGTCCGCCGATCCTGGCTGCCTCTCTCAGTTCTAATCGTTGCCAGGAAGTTTCTCTTGCAAAGGGGAGAAGAGGGGATTCCTTTTTTCTGTTTTCTTTGAGTTTAAATTCGTTTGTTCTGAGAGCTGCCTCTCGCACTTGTACCAGGCTTCGAGACTGAGTCAAAACTGGGGTCACGCCCAAAGGAAGGGGTGTGGCCGAAGTTTTTACCCAGTCTGCCAGGCAGGAAGGCCGTCATAGAACCCATCCATTTGGACTCTACAGTCATCCTGCTGGAGAAAGAGGCTCTTATGTACACCTCAACATATCAGTTATCTACTGGACATTTGCATCATGTTATTGGTGGTTTACGAGGACATCCAGATTATACCGTGTCAAGTCTTGTCTTCCCCATTCTCCACTTACGTCTTCTATTTTTCTTACTCAGGTGAAAAACATAATATTTCTCCTTGTTAAATTCAATCATATTCTTTTCAACCTAATGTTCTACCTCTTTTTAAATTTTCTCTCCTCTGAAGTATAAGCCACCACTCCTACCTAGCTTTAGAACTATATTAACTCTGCAGATTTGATAGCATTCTTTCAAATTCTCTCAGTAATTTATACAAGTATGGAACTGCACAGTGCCCAGAAAGAGCCATGTGTCTTGATATTTCCCTGCAAGATGCTTTTGATTCATTCCTGAGCATTCTGTGATAGAGGTTATTGAACCAATTGTGAAATCATCTAGCCAATATTTTATCATTATACAGGGGTTTTTTTGGTCAATCAGTAATTCACTTCTTACTGTTACCAACAAAAATATAAACTAGATGCAATACAATAGGAGTTAATACAGTTCCAAGGGACATTTCATTCCAATTAATGTTCTACAAAAATGCACTTGAAGCACCCCAATGAAGAGATGTGATCATCTGCTTCTAAGAGATGGCACAGAAAGTATGATATACCATTATCAACTCAATCAGATATTGAAAAGGAAAAAAAGGATTCATTTTGAATGTACCGTATTTTCCGGTGTATAAAAATCATGAAAATCTTCTCAAAAGTTGGGGATCGTCTTATACGCCCAGTCGTCTTATACACTGGAAAATACCTGCATATGCGTCGGAGGCCAGCCGGCTGGGCTGAGAGGGGAGAAGCGGTGCCTTTCAAGCGGGAGCTGGCGCTCCGGCCATGCCCCTCTTGCGTGTGATGGGCTGCGTGGCGTGGAAAGGAGCTCCCATGACCCCACCGCTCCGATGGCACTCAGGAGGCTGGAGGGGTGGGCAGGTCCCGGGGCGGTGGCTGGGAGAGGGCAAGAGGTGCCGGGATGAGGATGGGGGGCTCCAGGTTGGCAGATGTGAGAGTGCAGCCGGCAGCTCCGAGGCGCGCGGATCTCTGCGCAGCTTCCGAGGCCCCGGATGTGCCGCCACTTGGCTCTCTACCAGGTTCTCCACCAGAGCCTCCCCCCTCCCCGGGCAATTGTGCAGAGCTGCTTGTGCGTCCTTGGCAGCGCCTCCCCCTTCAATCTCTCTCTCTCCCCTTCCTTCCTTCCTTCCTTCCTTCCTTCCTTCCTTCCTTCCTTCCTTCCTTCCTTTCCCCTTCAAACTCCTTCCTTGTCCATCTCTTCCTTTCCCCTTCAATCTTCCTTCCTTCCTTCCTTCCTTCCTTCCTTCCTTCCTTCTCCATCTCCATCCCTTGGCGGTGTGAGAGGGCTTGGCTCTCCACCAGGCTCTCTGCCAGAGCCTCCCCCCCTCCCTGGGCAATTGTGCGGAGCTGCTTGTGCGTCCTTGGCAGCACCTCACCCCTTCAATCTCCTTCCTTCTCCATCTCCATCTCTTGGCGGGTGTGAGAGGGCGGCTGGCGGCTTCGAGGCGCACATCCTCCGTGCAGCTTCCGAGGCCCCAGATGTGCCGCCGCTTGGCTCTCCACCAAGCTTTCCACCACAGCCTCCCTCCCCTCCCCGGGCAATTGTGCGGAGCTGCTTGTGTGTCCTTGGCAGCGCCTCCCCCCTTCAATCTCTCCTTCCTTCCTTCCTTCCTTCCTTCCTTCCTTCCTTCCTTCCTTCCTTCCTTTCCTCTTCAATCTCCTTCCTTTTCCCTTCAATCTTCCTTCCTTTCATCTCCATCCCTTCCCCTTCAATCTGTCTCTCTCCTTCCTTCCTTCCTTCCTTCCTTCCTTCCTTCCTTCCTTCTTCAATCTTCCTTCCATCTCCATCTCCATCCTTCCCCTTCAATGTCTCTCCTTCCTTCTTCCTTCCTTCCTTCCTTCTTTTCCCCTTTAATCTTCCTTCCTTCTCCATCTCCTTCCTTTACGCTTCAATCTTCCTTCCTTCCTTCCTTCTCCATCTCCATCCCTTCCCCTTCAATCTCTCTCCTTCCTTCCCCCTTCAATCTCCTTCCTTTCCCCTTCAATCTTCCTTCCTTCCTTCCTTCCTTCCTTCCTTCCTTCCTTCCTTCCTTCCTTCCTTCCCCCTTCAATCTCCTTCCTTTCCCTCCAATCTTCCTTCCTTCCATCCATCTCCATCCCTTCCTTCAATCTCTCTCTCCTTCCTTCCTTCCTTTCCCCTTCAATCTCCTTCCTTCTCCATCTCCTTCCTTTCCCCTTCAATTTTCCTTCCTTCCTTCCTTCCCCTTCCCTCCCTCCCAACATTTTTGAGCAAGGAAGAGTAAGCTTTTCCAGCGAGCATTGCTACCGTATTTTCCGGCATATAAGATGACTTTCTAAACCATAAAAATCTTCTCAAAAGTTGGGGGTCGTCTTATACACCGGAAAATACTGTACTTTCTAAATGCACATATATTCAGAACTAGTCATGATAGTACCACCAAGTCACATCAGGCTAAGAGAACATCAAACAGAATTTTACATATTTGTATGAAAATAAAAGGAAAAGGAAATAATAATCGCTATGTAATTGCATGCATTTGCCATAGAGCAGCATACTAAACAGAAGGTTAATGTTATGCTTTCCTAGATTAGGTTACCAATTTCTACAATGGGAAAGCATGATAATCACAGGAGTTTTCCATTATATAATAGAAGAGCTAGTAAATTTCTGATTTGATCTGCTAACAAATCCATCTTTTTGTAGATAGACCAATAAACCAGAAGATCAGCTATCACAAAATTTCCTAATATGGAAGAATTGGTTGAAAAGTGGTGGAGACTTTGATTTGAAGTGAACATTTCATCTTGAGATTTATGTTATTAAGAAAATTAAAAGTTGTGATATTAATGGTTTTTTTCCCCTGTAAGTATTCAAGGAGAAATGAAATTCAAAGTGTGAGTTTCTTTAAAATATGGAACTGCAAGCTATTAAATGAGAAAGACAAATGTAATACAAATAACAAAATCAGTGTGACTGTGTAAGGAGGTTATTAAACAAGCCACCACTGAAAACAAAAGGAAGGATAGATTACAGAGAAATGATACAGACAAGTAGCCAAAACTGTAGGGAAGGTATTTAACAGAAAAAATCTTGAAAATCTTGCTCAGGCCACCACAGAAGTACTCATGTTCTGAGAGGGTCAATCAAGCAGAGAAACATTTCTGATTTGATTCTGCTCAGAGAAGTCCCATCAGGGGAAATAGCAATTACATCCCATCTTCTGAATACTGAACAGCATTCCTATGTTTCCAGGGAAGGGGCTCGGCAACCTTCAAATTCTCTAAAGCTTCTTCACCTGCTATGATTTTAAAGTAAGCATACTAATTCCAGGATTTCTCTTTTAGTCATAAGCCAAGCTTCCTTCTCCTTTTCCTATGCTCTGCCTTCTGCTGTATGCTTGGAAACCTGCATTTACTAGCTTTTGTATAGCCATTGATAAGAACTTGTCTTTTTATGCAGGCATTTGATTTCTGAAGAATCTACTTCCCACAGACACACTCATGCAACTAATTCATTCCCAGATCTCTCATGTTGAGCAGGGAGATCTGATGGGAAGTTTTATCCAATGTACTGCTTTCTTCTTTCTTAGCATCCCTCATCATGCAAATAATTTTATTTACATTCAAATGTAAGGCACGTTTTCTTTCATATATTCTGGTCATGGAGCTAGTTTCTAATTTTCTTCTTTGCAATGATATCACTGAAGGAGAATGAACTACTCTCATACTCTAATTGAAAAACCATAAATGGAAAACTCAGAAACCCACATAACATAGTTCGGGTTGCTATGATATCATGCTAACATTAACATTAATATGTATGTTTACCTATTACTTTTTACTATGATGTAAATTAAGTTTTTACAATGCTTTGAAAATACTATGCTACAAACATTATTTTAAGCCCTTAAGAAATAATACTAAATACTAATCTTTATTAATAAAAAAAATCTGCAGAAAAGATAAGAAGATGCTATAGCAATCCCAGACATTTTTTGTCATCTAAAGAAAGCTCTTTGGGGTTTTTATACTGTGTAATTGGTTTGTGGAAATTTTTGAAAAGCATTTTGCTTTAGTGAAGATTTGGGTGAACTCCTGCCTCAAGGCTGCTTCACAAAATAGCATAGATGGTACTTCTAAGAGTGAAGAGGTATTACTTTGCTCACCTTCCTCAACATCTCAGTAAGTTTCAAAAGCCAAGAGACTTCTGGATGTATACAGCTCTTACATAGAAGCCTCCTCCAGCCTGGGGGAAATGTTTATGAGTGCTAATAAGAGGTTGTCTTCTATAGTATTTCTGGCTTTTGCAACTGACATAGACAAGAGGGAGGCTTAAAAGTAACCAAAGTATCCTTGCTCAAGCAAACAACAGTCAACATGCACAGGCCTAGTGCATAGCACGCACTTTAGATCAACATAGTCTCTAGAATATGTTTGCACTTACAGATATTTTAGATTTTCAAGGTCTTCAAATGCTCCAGTTGGTATTCTTTTAATGTGATTATTGTTGAGGAGTCTAGGATATAAAACAAAAAGAGGTATTTTTTCCACTGAAGAATAATTACCAGTAACAATAACAAGGTTTTCTTAAAATGATTTATTGAGAAAATAAGTATGGAACAGATACTTTATTCCAAAGTATCAATCTCAATACCTATTTTTCAGAAAGATAGCTAGAGTAGGTACAACATTCGAAGTATGCTATTACATTCAATGGCAAAATTACTGCTATTGCTACCATTGCTTCCTGAATATTATTATCATCTGATGGGAAATATCAGAAAATTGAGAAGCTTGCTCCCTTATTAGTAACAATTTGATTGGCCTATCTTTACTTAAGTGTGCTTTGTATTTTGGCTGTTGATTTCTATTAATATTTACTGTAGCTATAATATATAGCTACAGTAAATATTACTGTAGCTATAATATATATTGTTGCTTGGACTTCTAACAGTACTGCCCCCAAAAATCTGGAGGACACCAGATAGGGAAAACTGAAATAAAATCTATCAATACAGGTAGTCCTCAACTTATGACCACAATTTAGCCCAAAATTTCTGTTGCTAAGTGAGACTTTTGTTAAGTGAGTTTTGCCTCAATGTATGTTCTTTCTTGCCACAGCTGTTAAGTGAATCACTGCAGTTGTTAAACATTGTTAAGTGAATCTGGTGTTTCTCATTGACTTTGCTTGTCAAAAGATCACAAAAGGTGATCACTTGACCCCAAGACACTGCAACTGTTATAAATATGAGTCAGTTGCCAAGAGTCTGGATTTTGATTACACAACCATGGGGATGATGCAATGGTTGTAAATGTGAAAAATGGTCATGAGTCACTTTTTTCAGTGCCACTGCAACTTCAAATGGTCACTAAATAAAGTCGAGGACTACCTGTACTATGAATTAATGAGCAAATTAAGATAGTCTTCATGGAACTACCAATAGGAATGAAAATATAAACTATTTCTGCTATCATTAGAAAGCCCTATGTCCAGGTGGAAACAGTGCATTAATATTTTCAAAAATTCAAAATATTCAAAAATACATTGCCCTTTTTGTTTTAGATAAAAGTGACAAGAGATGGATAGATCATGGTGGATCCCTAGAAAATCTGTTGGTGGACCAGTAGCTGACAATTCTTTTACATGTTGCATGGATTGCAAATTAGCTAAATTTATATAGAAGTCAACAAAAATTACAGATGGCTAGATTTCTTATGTTCTTTCATGTGGATTCCACAAAATACTGACTAAATTTAAAAGCTTTAAAACTCTAGTCAGAAATCAACATATTGAAAATTTAATGTACATAGTCTAATTGAAACAAAATACAAATAGAGATGGAAATAAAACTGGTTAACAGTTTACAAAAGGAAAAAAAGGTTGTAAGAAGGATAAAACTTACAATGTGTTCAAATTTTTAAGCCTTCTAAATGCACCAGGCTGGATTTCTTTAATTCGATTGAACCGAAGATCTCTGTTAGGAATGGAGAAAAAAGTTCTTGATTACTGTCATATCTTTTATGGTCCACATTTCAACAAGTTGAAAATAAACATTGGCTAATAACTGTATTATATACTTTTCAATGGCATTTCACTCTAATTAAAGCAAAAAAAAGGGAAGTGTGTTATATATAAAAAAAAAATCTGTGGAATTCCAGATTATTCTATTTTATTTCCATATGCCCTGTTATTTCCAATGGTTTTTTGTGGTTCTTGATGCCAACCCACAGAAGTATACTGTTTAACATATACACTGTTGGGGAAAATAATAAATGGAGCGTTAGAGATTGTGTACTGCCTAATTCACCTAATTCCATCTCTCTTTTCCATTTAAATTAAAAAAAAATACTCAAGTTTAAAGCAATGCATGATGCTGTTATCAAACTAATTGAGAGAAACAGTGCAAAGATGGCAAAAGTATTCCTGATTGACAATTGATAGATTAGACAATTAGAATTCAGCCTGCTTTAGATGGGATTATACAGCTTTTTGAACACCAAGGTTTCCAGGCTCCGTGTATTCTTTCATCTAGTCCTAAATCTCTATGGCTTGGAAAAATTTGCACAGCTAAGATTAGTAACTCAAGTTTGATTGTTCCTACAGTTCTTGTGCTTGGTACTACTACTTCCACATTATTCCCAAGAAAGCTACATGAATCAAGTGACACTTTATCTTTCTTAAAACTGTGTTCTACAAGAGAATGCCATGAAAAAATTGCTTTTTGAAATATTTTTGAGATTTCAGCTGGTACCTTCCCAACATTTTTGGCTAGTAGCCTCTAGTCATAGAGTGTTGTTAATAACTGTACCATTTCTAATAATCTTGGGACAAGTATGTTTGAAAGATCAATTCTTTCTTACGGTCATTATATCCAAGTGTTTAGGGAGGTCTTTCTTTCTGTCCCTTTTACAGCTGAATGTGCAGGACCATTAAAGAATACTTCTAATATGCTTACAGCTTGCTTCCAAGGGAGGTTAAGCCAATTCTATTCCTCCTGTTTTTCTGCCAGCAGGCAAAGGCATACAAAGTTCTGACTTAAGCTAACTGCTTACTGAATTACATATTTTGATTAATAAGTGAATAAATAAATGTCAGATGGTGGATGCTGTTCACAGATTTTGTGATGCAAGTTATATAACTTATATATTTGTATCTAACATTATAATGTGAATGCAGTAAGGCAGATTTTAATGTCATGCTTTTTGCTCTTAAAGTTTGAACTTGATATTTGGAATACTACTTATTTTTGCTTTTCTTTGTTTTATTTTAGATTTACTGATTTTAAAAAGTTGGCTTCTTATATTTAATTACTTTTTTCCTTATATTTATTCTTCTTATTTATTATCCATACTATTTTTATGGAAAAAAATTAAATTCTACTCTATTTGATATTGTGACATACCTTCCAAAGAGTTCCGTCAATATTCTGAATACAGTGAGTACATGTTGTTTGGGGTTCTAAAATGTGAGTTGAATACATATGTTTCTCAATACGTTTTAAAAGGAGCTATTTCAGAAATATTTGGCTGAAAGCAATCCTGTCTTGGTAGATGGAAAACAACACATTTTAAGTAAACAGAGCAAAACAAAGAATGGGAGAAACCAAGTTAAAATTTTCATTTAATTATTTATCAAATTCATATGCCCCTCCCCCCACCCCACCCAGTCTTACTATCCAAAGTGACTCTGGGCAGTTTACAATGGCATAAAAACATAAAAATTAAAAAAGCATTAAAATTAACAATTAAATAAAGGTTGAAAAACAAGATCACAGATGGTAAGAGGGTGGGTTTTTGTCTCTCACTCAACCAACCACCTCTAGCATAGCGTTCCCCCATAGGGTCCCAAGCCCAATGGCAGAGCCAGATTTTAAAATGATTCCAGAAGGCCAGAGGGATGGAAATGACTCTCACTTCTGGTAGCAAGATGTTCCAGAGGACAGGAGCCATGGCAGAAAAAGCTCTCCTCCTCAACCCCGCTAGCTGAAATACCTTGGCAGATGGGGGGGGGCCAAGACAGTTCCTCAGATAACCTGGTCCCATGCCCCAAAGGGTTTTTTATATGTAATAACCAACACCTTGAATTGGTCCTGGAAGCAAATAGCAACCAATGTAGCGCCTGTAACATTGGTATTACATGCACCATCCTAGGGACTTCAGAACTCTTTGCACAGCTGCATTCTATACCAGCTATAGCTTCAAAGAGAACGCCATGTAGAGTTCTTTGCAATAATCCAACAAGAGATAACCAAGGCACAAGTGACTAAGTGAAGGGCCTCACGATCACAACTGGCACACTACACAAAATTGAGTGGAAGGTCTTCTAGACATGACTACCAGTTGCTCTATGAATCATGAGTCTAGGACAAACCCCAGGTTAGCATAGGGTCTCTCTGGGGTAGTGCAACCCCATCCAAGACCAAACATGGATCCATAACTACTTCATCTTCCCAGGGTTCAGCTGAAACCTGTTGTTCCCCCATCCAGACACCCACAGCCTCCAGGCCCTGCAAAAAGGCAGCCACAACAACACTTGAGTCACCTGGGATGGAGATGTAGAGTTCTGTGGTGTCAGATGATCTTACCTAGCAGCTTCATGTAGATGTTATAAAGGAGCAGAGAGAGTACTGATCCCTGTGGCACACCACGAAGCAATGGCCATGGGATGGACTTTTTGCTCCCTATCAACACCAGTTGGGACCAGACTTGGAGAAAAAAGACAAATCAGTAGAAAACTGGCCACCCAGTTCCAAATCCTGCAGCTGGTCCAAAAAGATACAATGGTCAGTGGTGCTGAAAGCTGCCAAGAGATCAATAAGGGCTAAGAAGGGTGCACTATTCCCATCCTGTTCTTACCAGAGATCATCTACAAGTGTGACCAAAGCTGTTTTGTCCCATAATCTGGTCTGAAACCCAACTGAAAGAACTCCTGATAATCCATTTCATCCTGGACTCTTATGTCAAATGAATGAATATTTTTAAACTTTGCTATTGGTGTAAGAGTAACAATAAATATGAAGAAACATACGTTACTTTTGGCATTGAAAGCTGGAATGCACCAACATATTTTCCAGATAATGGTATCTCCAAATCTTCGAAGTGAGTAAATCAGGAATCTTAATTTTTCCCCTTCTGTACATTCTTTGTTCTCCAATACAGAAAATGCCTGGAGGACAAAGTTATCTTCATGCATATGCCAAGTTTCAGACCTGATATAGAATCACTTGTTTTAGTTACAGATAGTCCTCAAGGTACGAACCTTTGGAGCCTGACCATGAGGCTTGTAAGTCAAAAAACTCGTCAGATGAATCAGACTTAATTTTACAATTTTTTAAAATCAAATTCATTAATTAAATCATATGGGTTGTTAAATGAACAAAGATCTGACTTGCTATTTCCTTCGATAGCTGCCATATTAACTGAACTGGGAGGGTTTTCTGACGCCGCTGATTAGCTGTTTTCTGTGAGCTGGCTCAGGAACTAAATTGCCTCCAAGCAGGGCTTGCAGCCATTAGTTATTTTTTTAAAAAAACAACTGCTGTTAGCCAGCTCTAGAGACTTCAGCTGGTTGGGGGGGGGGGGGAGTGAGCCGGTGCTTTAAAAAAAAAACCACTTGCCAGCTTAAGAGTCTCCAACCATGCACCCAGAGGGAGAAGGAGGAGGGATTTGCAGAACTCTTGGCTTCCAATAATAACAGAGATGGAAGGGACCTTGAGGTCAGCTAGTCTAACCCACTGCTCTCACAAGAGAGTATTTCTGATAAATGCCTATCCAGTCTCTTCTTAAAAGCTTCCAGTGATGGGGCACCCACAACTTCGGGAGGCAATTTAAATTTAAAACCTACAAACTACAGTAATATATGCTAATCTCCAAAATAAAAGCTCAATAGTTTGCAAAGTACAGCACTTAAAAAGCAGAACAGTTCTCAACAGTTTGCAAGCACTATAGAGTAACAAAGAATTGTTTTTAAAATACTTACAGAAGTAATTCTAGCATTTGAGCCAAGGCAGTAGCAGATTGCAGCAAAAGCAAAAACTGGTGCCGGCTGGGCTCTTGTTTGGCCATGTGACCAGGGACAAACAAACAAACAAAAAAAAAACACTCTTCTGGCTTCTCATAGCACCGAATAGCCCAGGCAAGTCACAAAGTTAAAATGGCGGCTGTTTGCAGCAGAGCCTGAATCCAAGTCACATGACTACAGAGGCCTGTTTTTGGTCGCAATTTTGAATTTCTAACATAAGTACTCTTTCTGAATTAATTTGTTTTTGTGGAAACTCGCTAAATAAATGTTCGTACCTGGGGGATTACTTGTATTCTTCTATTCCTGGCAGGTCAGAACAAAAGCAATCCAGAATAATTTACTAACTTTACTGAGAGCAAATTGTGAGACAAACTCTAGTAGCCTTTATTACTTTAAAGTGGACTGAGTCCAGGATATTTCTTTCAAGAATCATAGTAGCATGAAAAAAGCTTCCTTCAAACAAAAAAGTAAAATCTCTCTACAGAACTGAAATTAAAGAAAGATCATTAAGGCATTTTAAAGATAAGCTCTTGATAGCTATCCAATCTACTATCACATTAACAAGATTTGTTTAGAAAGGCTAGTTTAATCTACACTCTACCTATATACCCTGGTTACAAACACAAACTTTTCCCTCCTTAACCTTCTTTATTTCTCATACTAGTTTCATAAAACCACACAGACCTACCCAAACCCTATTTGGAAGAAGAAAGCCAATGAATACACCTCTCAAACTTTATCCTTTTAAAAAACAGGTTTATACTGAATTACCAAGGAAAGAAAACTCAACTCTTTTATCTTCATTCCCAAAGGAATCTCATTCCTAAATCAATTTAATCTTGCACTAGAATTTTCACAGGTAGCTCCCCAGAAGGCTGGAATTTTGCAATACAGTACAGCCTTTTGCTTTTCTTCTTGCTTTTAATCAAAAATAGCTCGTTTACAAAACCCTCT